GTCTCACCAGCAGTTTCTTCCAGGACATCCCTGGAAAACTGAAATAACAGGAATAATTTAAAGCCATAGCAATTAACTCAGAATTTTGGAAAAACATGTGTTAAGACTGCATCTATGTTTTTCATATGAATATGAAAATTATCCTGTGTGTGAAATCCTCTGTTCTGCATTATTATATTTTATGTGTGTGCTAATGTGAATGTATATGTATACACCCTGATGAATACTTACTTATAATTACTTGAGTTAACTTGACATTTTATCTGAAATAATGCACTGTTTTGTGCATATAAAAATATATTTTGTGTATTTCTTCCCTGACATTTTATTTGCTCTCTTTAATTAGAGAAAAACGAAAAATTCTTTGAAAGGTAGATTGTATTTAGAGACATATTCCAAATCTGTCCTGTAGTTAACAATTTGGTAATGTGTCCTATAGTGTAGCTGTTTTGATGAGGCTACTTCCAGAACTTAGATAGTGGGTGCTTGCCTTCAGTAGGACAACTATCCAGCAAATCTAAAATACATTAAATGGTTCAATTACAAGTAGTCAGGGGTAGAAATACAACACAGTTTTGTCCGATGCTAATAAAATAGGCGTTTGCTCTCATGTAAGGCTCTGCTTTTCCTCTCTCATACTAAGGGTACTGTGATAAAACCTCTGAAGGAAATTTTATTACCTACAAGGCAGGAAGGTGCCTTTATGGTATGCTCAGAGGAGGTACTCACAGAATCTGATAGATCAGATCATGCTGAAGAGAAATACACTAAGGGAGTGCACTGAGGTGCTTGCTTGATTTCCCACGTTTGCTTTGGAGTTGTCTTGTTCCTCTGGTTCTGGATTTGGCTTTGCCTCTAGACTCTAGATTTCATCTCTAGGTGCTTCCTTTTATGATCATTCATTTTTGGAACAAGCTAGGAGTTACATTTTGTTATTGGCCCAGACTTAATAGCTGTCATTCCACTGTGGTACAGTTTAGAACATATGATTTGACCTGTAACTAATTCTTGACTATGGATTTAAAAACTGAAAGTAGATCAATAGAAACTGAAAATCTTACTATCTTGACTGCTTTTTTGGTGTTAAAGTGGTCAACATTTAGCCTAAAATCTGTATTTTTTTCTGTGGGATATGGGATGGAAAGACTGTGCCTGTAATTTATTACTGAAGAGAAAGCCTGCTGCTTTTATGTGCTGTACCTTTGTTTTCTTTCTGTGGAAAAATCTTCTTCTTAAGAAATGAATTACTTCTGTGTTCTGCTTAACTGTGTTAGATGCTGTACCAGAGTTCCCTGCTCTCCTGCAGCCCGCTTTGCAAACTTGTGGTCTTTGACAAAACCCTAGAGGGCAATGGACTTCATATGCCCTCTGCTTCATACTCTGGTTTTTTGGTTCCTGCTTTGATTCTGTCTGTTACCTGGTCCACTTACTCTGCTTCTAACTTGATCAGGTTGATGCGTAGGCAACCAGAAACTTAATACTAAGTTATACTTGTTATGGATCCATTGAGATTGTTCTTAATTGATTGAAACACACGTGTCTCTAGAATAGTGTTTTCCAAACTAGTCCATGAAATAGGTTCATGGATTATAATTAGTATTCTATGAGAAAAGGAGATCTCTAATTAAATGACTTACAAATCAAACTTCCTTGTGGGGACTCCCAGTAAATACTATAATATTAAATGTTCTAAGAAATGTTGAAGAAATGAAAGCTGTTGGATGACTTGTATTTGTTTTCTAAATACAGTTGTCCATTAATCCTCTTTTTTTTAGACTATCTGGTCACTTCTTAAAGATCTCCAGTTTTCTGTAGAAGACATTTTTGGAAATATGTTCTTAGAACTCAGCCATAGTTAACAATCTTCCTGATCCACATCTTCAATAATAAGCTTTTAGTAGGTTAAACAGCAGGTGCCTACATTTATATCATGTTAGATCAAACTATATAATCTCAAAGGATTATCTAATTAAACCAGGCATCTAATGAATGAAAAACATTTGAAAGGAGGTTATAGATGTCTTAGAAATCAAGGAACTCGATAATATGAATTAGTTCAATTACTGCTGTCTGATACCTATTGAATTCTCATTTTATTTTGTTTCATTTTTTTTCTGATTTGGATTTTAGTATGAAACTGATGCCAGGATATTCTGGCATATTTTTAAAAGTCTAAGATCTTCTGGCCTTAATTTTTTGAGGTTGATACATAGTTAAGGTGAAGTTAGGACATTAATTTATCACTTTTGGTATAGAATGAGTATTAGTCTGTAAGAAGAGCTCCAGGTTATAGTAAGATAATTCTGTAGTGTGGATGCTTCCCTTTATCATTAGATTTTTGAAGTGGGTAATGTTCATGTTAAATCTTCTTTTTGTCTGAGTTACATGAAGCCCAGTGGTGATGTCTCTTTCTGTATGTTTGTTAAAATTTTATTTGCAATGTTTGAAAAATTCCTACATATAAATGAAAAGGAAATAGGTGGCCTTGGGTATAATAAAATTTAATCAAATAAGTAAAATCATTTTATGAGTAGTACATGGACAGATGGGGATTGTATCCAAACAGATGAGTTATAAATTGATAACAGTGATAAAAAGTCAGATTTAATGGAAGTTTCTACATGAAAAGCTCTATAAGTAGATCTTTATTAATTTAACAATAATAAGAAATTCTTTTTTCAACCTTCCAGCACCTTCTAAACCCTTTCTTCTCTTTAATATCCCAAACACGTTTGTTGTTTAAAACAAGGAAGCCAGGTGCTCATGAACTTCCGCTGTCTTTTTTCTTATTAGTCCTTTGGTCTGGCTGTATTTGGAAAAGTGGCTTTCCCCCACCATACAGACTAACATTGCTGTTTGGCAAAGCAGAGTTTTACTCAATTTATTATATGTCTTTGCCCTGCTCTGGTTGGCTGGTCACTCCTGTTACTTAAGAGGAGCAGTAGCTTTGTCTCAAAGAAGTCGCACAATTCAGGAAACTAAGGAACAATAATTTAGCTGTAATAGCAACTTCAAGTGTTCTTCCTTGAAGAGAAACGTGTCAGAGCCCTGCTCTCCTTCACTCCAGTGTCCCTTTCAGGCCTAATGCACGTGTAAGGCTCAAGCATACACAGCTGCCCTGGGCACACAGTCTTCCCCTGCCTTCCCCACGGCACTTCGAGCCAAATCCATAGGCACGTGAAGCCCTTGCTCCAGACAGCAGGTACCCAGAGCTGTACAGCAGAGTTAGTTTATTTAATGTGCTGCTTGTTTCTTAAGAAGAATTTGAAATGTCATTGATTTGACAAATATTATTGAATATCTCCTATGTAACTGCTACTGTGCCCCTTAGGCTTTAAACCCTATTAGGGAGAGAGACATCGCAGGAATGGGGAGGGGGAACTCAAGTTCTTACAGTGTATTTTTGGATTTGAGATTACTGTCCTTTGCCAGACTAGGCAATTAAGGATGGAAGCCTATTCTCTCCTCTACCTTATGTTTTTCAGTCAGGTAAAAGTCACTTTTCTTTCTTTTCTTCAAATAGCTCTTGCTGGGATTTGGCCTAGTTTTGTCTGTAGTAATTTCAGATTTATAGTGAGAAGAGCTGATATGTGTGATTTGGCCATTTTTCCCATGACTGATTTTTCTTGTTTTATAAAACTATCAGACACCCAGAGAGAATAATGGCTCTATTCATTTTAAACAATTGCTTGTTACATCTGGATTTTGTCAGGTGAAGATTCGAATCATAAGAGCTCTGAAATCCCAGTTGTCCAATAGATCACAGAATCAAAGAACAGCCTCCGGGAGAAGGAAACAGGACTCACAGCTGCTACTATAAGGGATCATCAGTATTTTAGCTTTCTCTAGACCTCCTTTGATATTCCTCCTCCTGCCTGCTGTCTTTAGTAGGCAGTCTCTACCTCTGCCCCTGTCTGTTAACCACTTGGGCTCATATGTGAAAAGCAGTATTTAATTTGCATAAAATTTATTTCAGCCAATTGTTTTGTTAGTTACCCAAGTACAATTCCAATTTAACAAACTCCCTGGCTTTTCTAGAATATTGCATTGTGACATGTCAAAGTGGTGATGAACATATTCTCTGCTAATTGGGCCTGGCAGTGAACAAAGTAAATGTTCAGCTTTTCTTTACTGTCCAAGAAGCAAGGAGAAGAGTGTCTCAAACCTAGCGAGAGCCCCTGCTGGCACGTATGGTATCTTTGTGAGAAGTGGGAAAGGAGCCCCCTCTGGGCAGACAGACCGCAGTGGGTGGGCACCCTGGGCGGAGCGAGTAGGAGTCAAAGGTGCACCTTCCTCCAGGAGGACTTCGGTCCCTTTGGCGGGTCGAGAGGGAGCTGAAGGTGGCTCTCATCACCCTCAGCCCTGACCGTCTGCAGGCCATGACCTGAGTAACAGTCTTGGGAGCTCTGTGCCTCGCGCAGGACAGGAGGGCAGCAGTACTCCATTCTGCTTTGATCTCATCCCGACTAGCAGCCTTACAGGTTACCTTGTTCTGTTGTTTGCTTTGGTGGGAGTTAACCTTTTTTGATAATAGTGATATATGAGAAGGAGAGTCAGAGAATTATTTGATTTTAGGATAAACAAAATGAAGTGACCTCAGACACAGTCAATACCACGTTCCCTTCTTAGCATACAATGTTAATAAGCACATCGCAGGCTCTTTCACTAAAAAGAAAATTCATTTCCTGGACAGTAATCCTTGGAAAGAATTTTTCATTTTAAAGAATTTATTCTAACTTCATTATCAAATGACTGCTTCTGTATACCCATAGGCGTGTGTGTGTGTGTGTGTGTGTGTGTGTGTGTATGTGTATGAACTTTTCTGATATTAATTCTTATCACACACTGATAGTAACAAAGTTAAGTAACCATTGTGTCTTCTGCTTTCAAGTATTAGAAACTGGTATCTTGTGAAAAAGTATTGCATGCTTCCCACTATAAACTAAAAAGGAATGAATAATAAAATTTAGAGCTTTTTTTTCAATCTCTTTGTATTCTAGGTGATGTGTTTCACGTCACTGCTCCCAATAAATTCACCTTCGAGGAGGCTGAGGAAGCATGTGAAAACGAGGACGCGCGGCTGGCAACGGCGGGGGAGCTCCACGCAGCTTGGAGGAGCGGCTTTGACCAGTGTGATTACGGGTGGCTGTCTGACGCCAGCGTTCGCCACCCTGTGACTGTGGCCAGGGCCCAGTGTGGAGGTGGTTTGCTTGGGGTGAGAACCCTGTATCGTTTTGAGAACCAGACAGGCTTCCCTTCCCCTGATAGCAGATTTGATGCCTACTGCTTTAAACGTAAGTGTTTGATACCTTTTTAAAAATCATAGATTAAAAAAAAAATACTTCGAAGGCATGCATTGATGTTCACCTAGAGGTTGGAATGGATTCCATGTCTTGAAATTCATTCACAGAATGGAAACACATAGTGACTTTCCAAAGCAAGCAAATGGAACAACAGCTATATGGTTAAAACAACAGGAAGTTTGACAAATGATTTTTTTTTACAGGAGATGAGGAAGTGTCAAGTTGAGGTCTCAACTGTGCTGTGCCTCATTGCATCTAGAAACACAAAACATATTTCTGAGTAGTTATGTTATATTAATTGCTGCCCTTAAAGGCAATTAGATTGCTGGTGCTATAATGCCAAGGCCACTGGCGGCTGAGCTGAATCCTTGAACTCTGTTTATTTTGTCTTTGTTTGGGTGTCTGTCTTTGAGATGATGGAGAATTTTAATTTCAATAATTGCAGGTGAGTACTTGGAACTGACATGCATAATCATAATGTTCACTTAATACCTAAAACTGAACCTGCTATGAATAAAAATCTCCCTTTACCTCATTTTATTTTAAGTAATGGACCTATGTGCTATTAATCATAAATCTAATGTCATTGAAGTAGAGCTTATGTTCCTTTGCAAGGTGTTGACATAAGCTTTGTTCAGTTTTAAAATTGGTTTTAAATAACATTTCTCAACATTTATGATATAATTATTTACATTTTTCAGATATTCTTAAGTAATTTTGCCATAGGAGTTACATGATCTAGTAGCATGTTTATAGAAGCTTAATTACACAGGCAGGTAATCCAGAGTCTCCTTGGGCTATTTACTGTAGGGTCTATATTGTGACAGCTGAACAAAGATCTAGACTTTTGGGTGACCTTGAGTATGCTCAAGATAGAGCCATGTTATATTGAAATACAGTGAAAAGTTCTTGCTAAGTTTCCAGTATAGCTTGTTATCGCAATGTGTAACTGAAATGAGTAGAAAATACACTTAGCTTATTATGTCATTGGTTTCTAAAGTGAAACACACAGATATTATTCTTCATCAACCAAAAAGAGCTGGGATCCTGAGTATCTGTAGAATAGGTGTTAGTGCAACAGAAACAATAGATATGAAGTGTGATGTCACATACTGCTCTCTCTCAGCCTTATTGCCTCTATTTGGATGTCCTCCCATAGACTCAGCTTTCTGAGTGGTAAAGCCATGTGCTGTGATCATGCAATAGAAGTTGGCCAGAAAAAGCCATTGAAAATGCTAGTTTTTGTTCCTAGATATGGAAACAACAGAAAAAGTCTTCTTTAATCACTTTCAGGAACACAAACAAATAAGAACAATAACAAAATATATTCCTAAAAGTAAATAAATATACATTCCTTTAAGCTACATTTTCATAACAGTGACTTTCATATAGTTCAAGCTTTAAAATCAGTTTTACATTAAGTGACTGATATGCTTAAGGAACAAAATCTAATTGTTTTTTTGGGGGGAAGAGGAGGAAGCTAGAGAGGTTATTTAAAGGAAGGAATAGAATTATCAACTTGACTACCTTGCTTGATTATATATTCTTGTGCTTTATAAAACATGCACTAGAAAACTTTTAAACATTTTTTTCTTCCTGGGGATAAAATTTAAACCAACGCCTGTCTGTAGCCACAAAGAATTCATCCTGATGTGTTTTAAATTATTTACTTAAATGAGGAATTCACATGAATGTATGTGATAATAAGGTACTCAGATTCAAGCAAAATAACTGATTACTAAAAATCTACATAAAATCTAAAAAACTTTGAAGTTTAGGTCCACTTTTTTCTCCCTAATTCATTTGAGTCTATATAACTTGGAAATATATAACTTGCAAATATTGTGGTTCAATTTTTGAACTACATTTTGAAATATTGTGGTTTCAGATTTTGTTTTTTTCCTCACTTAAGCCTAAGACCCTAACATATTCAAAATTTCCTCAGCATATAAAACGTTTAGAAGGTTTAGTCATAACAAAAACCTTTCTTAATCCACTTGCCATGCCAACAGCTTCCTCAGATTTCTAATCCATTTTTCAAGGATTCTTTTAATATGTATACATTTTAAAGAATTTGAAAAATGTTCTCAAAATGACTTAACTGCTGTCCACTTTTCTCACATAGTTGAGTAGTGACTGAATTCTATGGGAGAAAATTTATAAGAGTTGTGACCTTAGTGACAGTTCCAAAAGTGGTTTCAGAGATGCACAGCTGGTTGGCTAAGTAGAAGAATTTAGTAATATAGCCGTATTTTCTTTGCTATTACCAAATGTAGAAAGTGTTTTATAGCTACTTCTTGGTGAATGAACAATACCAAATCTCACTGTTCCATAATTTCCTTTCCTTCTAAAATCACTATATAGAATATTAACAAAGGCTGATGATAAATATAATTAGAATCTATTCTTGTCAGATAGATTTGAAAAACAAATAAATTAATGTCTTTATATAGTAAAGGTTTCCTGAATATTTCCCTGTGATGACTAAACTAAATTGTGTACTTTGGATTTTTCTTTGTCTTCAGAGTTAAGCAAGTTCTGTGAAAGTTGGAGAGTTAAACAGTGCTTTGAAAACTCAGCAATACATCCCCAAATTTCAGGAAGCTAAAACCATGCAAGACTCATGATAATCTCCCATTTAATGTTATTAATGGTCTTTAAGACAGAGAGACAGAGCATGTTTCCTAGAAAACCTATTTTAATATCCTTTTACCGTCACTCTCAGGTAGTTTTCTAATTATCTAAATCTGCATTTGAGGTTGAGTCCATTTTTCCTTTTTAAGTTAGAAACTAAAACTGAAATAACAACCCTTTCTATTATTCAACACAACTGTACACTTTGTCCCTCAGCCTCTTCCTCAACTGGATCAATATCCTGGTTGTGAAATTTCAATTTCTAAGCCTCTAGTAATCTATGTGATCTTGCTTTGAACCCTCATTATTTGCGATGTTCCTTTGTTTGATTAAGCTTCCAACTAGAAACTGTGGTCTAGAGAAAGCTAAATAAATAGGCACACACCACTTTATATGGTGTATTTTTCATGTATTTGTTCACTTTTAAAGTTAGCCTGTCCTTCTAACCTGTGGTTAGTTTATTATCATTTTTATGCCCTAGATCTTAATTTGACCATAGATGCCAAAAATGAATCCTTTTTAATTGGCGTTTTTTAAATGTTTTCTGTGTATTGACTTTAACTCCGTTAGCATTTTATCACTCGCAAAACTTAAAAAAAATGGTTTTGAGTTGTAATCCCATTTGTTTTAACCTGTACTCTTTTCCCAATGATGAACCCAGAATCCACTTACTGAATATCTACTCTATTTGTGAACTCCCATGTTTACAGTTATTTACATATAAAAAATGTAACAGAAGAACTAATTTGAAACTAGTCATTTCCCTATTATGGAGGCAGTATGAGTATGAATTAATCGACTGTCATGCTGCTAATAGGACTTTTACATATATTTTATTAGGAAAAATCTGCCTTGTGTCTCACAAGAGAAGCATAAAGAAGATAGTCCATAAGACATAAAATACTATAAGTATAGTGATGTGAAACATCTGTGTGGCAGACAGCTGCAAAGGTTGGAAGGAGCTTTTGTGGGAAAAGAGGCATGCTGATTTCTGTTGGCTTCCTCACTAATGAAGTTGAAGGGACTCTGGTAGTTTTCCAAGACCAAAACTTCTCCATGTAAATTCTCCTTCTGGAAGGACACTTTCAGAAACATTTGGAGTTGCATTTTCACCTTTATAGCAATCATCATTAATGTAGTAGTATTTACTCTTAAGATATCTTTGTAGATAGCTGTGTTTTTAAAATTATTTTCCTTTTTTTTGAATGGTTGCATCAAATAGTACAGATGATCCGACATACTGAGTTATGATGGAAATCAGCTGTTAAGTTGATGAAAAAGCCACCCAGCCCCAAAAGGAAGTCTGAGGTTTTCCATTCCAAAGAGTAGCATTAATTAATTTAATTGTAAACAGATTTGTTAACAGGGCTGCTCTAAAATTATTGAAAAACCTTGTTTTTTAAAACAAAGTCACCTAAATCCTGGCTTTATAAAGATTCTCTGAGACACACTGTGGTCATTCGCTCTGGTCCAGGCTGGAAGAACACAACCCCAAATGGCACATGAATAGTTGACAATGTTATTTAGTTTTAGAAATCTCAGTCCTTCATTTTAAAAACACTATGAAAGTATTTTCATAACATTGTAGAAAGTTGCTAGAACAGGACTCAGGTTGGAACATGGGAAGGCCTGATTCAGAGGCCCTCTGTTTGACCTGAACACAATCTCACCTCTTTTGAAGTTAATTTCATCAGCCATGGAAATCTCAGAGGGAAAAATCAAAATTAGCTTTTTTGTTATTACTCATGATAATATGATTGATTTTTCTCTAATATGCAGTCTGCTAAGTGTTTATATTATGTTTCTATGGAAACTTTCTCTGCGTGTACATTTTACTATTTCCCCAAAGAATGCAGTTATAAGACAAACATGATACTTGGCAGTTAAATGAGGTAACAGTTATGGAATTCCAGAGGATAGAGAATTGAATTAAAAGAAAAAAAGTCAACCGCACTTCAGTTCCTTAAGTTGTTCATGTCAATCAAAATAGAGCAAAGTTTCATTAAAGATGTGAATGTGAAAAATATTTTTCTTAAAAAAAAGGAGAAAAAGGTTATTTAACATGTTTTTGAGGAGTCCCAACTCTTTCTTGTATAGTTTGTTTTAATATAAAATGACAAACAATGACAGACTTTAAGGAATATTTAAATGTACCATCATTTAAATGGCCATCAAGTTTTCATTACAAAGTTGATGAATCTGGACTTTAAAATGCTTGGGGAATGACCGCAGCTAATAACAGCTCAGACCAGACAAAAAATGAGGAACCTATTATAGCTCAAGTCTGATCTACAGCAAAGTCACATCATTTTATCATTAAATTTTTTAATAGACTTTGTTTTTAGAGCAGTTGTAGGTTTACAGTGAAATCAAGCAGAAGGTGCAGAGATTTCCCGTATGCCCCTGCCCCTACACATTCACAGCCTCCCCCACACTCAGCATTTCCCCACCAGAGTGGGACATCTGTTAAATTGATGAACCCACATGAAAACATAATCTCTCAGAGTCCATAGGTTACATCAGGATTCACTCTTAATGTTGTATGTTCTATGAGTTCAGACAAACATGTAATGACATGTATCTACCCATCTGGTTTCACTACCCTAATATCATTGAGTTTTGACAGAGTAGATGGAGTTCAGTTTTGTTTTCCAAGGACTCCTGTTTTGGGATTATTTAGAGTAAGACACAAGATATTACAGATACTACAGATATTATAACTCCTATCAGGTGGAACAAGCATTGCCCATATAACCATTTTTAAGTCATAGGATGCAGCAAAACAGTGACTACAAATGTCCTCAGAGTAGTTCCTTCTGAGTTTAGTGGCAACTAGTTTTAACTTTTGGAAATCTGATTTTTAAAAAAAACATAATCTTTATGTGCTAAACTGCTACATTCTCCTGTGTTGAGAATGAATCTTGTCTACAACACTGTCACTTCTACACAATTTAAATATCTTAAAACAGGCCCCAAGCCATTCTCCATAAGCCTGGAGGCATTATAATGTAGCATTTTATGAAGACAGGTGCCTTTTTGTTGCCTGAGCCAATTCCTTCTGATGCTCAGGGTTGTTCCCAGTGATTTATAACAACAGACCTAAAATATATCATGTGGGTACTTTACTTCCTGTTCTAGGCTTGTGTTTCTTGCTACAGTAAGCCTTAAGAGTTATGAACACAGTATGTAGAACATAGAACAAAATGGAAAACTACAAGCAGCCTCTGCCGGAAACATTTGATTACTTATTTGAAACAAGGCTACGCTACAGATGAAAAGAAGATGAAGACAAATGTCCCAACACCTGGAATCAAGTGAAGAGGGGTATTAAAAATGTCATATCCTGTTTTCATAAAACACCCCACATTATGGACAATGTAATCGTTTATATGTAACATGGGTACATCTGATGTGGTTTTTTTGTTGTTTTGCAATCGGAGGCACTCCCTCTCCCCTGAGACACAAGGCAGCTTGAGAAGGAGGGAGGAAGCCAGAGGCAGGGTACAGAAGCCTTCAGAATAGTAGTATTAAGTTTTCCTGTCAGGCTTTAAGGTGCGGCTGTAGTTTCTGATACATAACCTATCTACTGTTTCCAAACTCTGCATTTGTATTTTTTTGGACTTCTCCATATCTTAAAACTACATACTATTCATTTCCTTAACCAAGAACAATGTTCACACCTACAGGCAAAAGCAGTGATAACTCTTTCAGTATAAAACAAGTGATCAACTTGTGATTACTAACTATTTAATTATCTGTCTCCGAGTTAATTTCAGTATCATTTTTAGACTCCTCTCCATCACACAGCATTTTGGGGTTACCCCAAAATATGTAACAGCACTTAACAAACACTGGACGTACAACTTTTTACTAGCGACTTGTCTAATCAACTCTTTGAAATTATTTTTCTAGCTAAACAGAATATATCAGAGGCTACAACCACCGAACTGAGTGTTCTTGCAGAAACTGCATCACCCAATTTATCTGAAGAACTACAAATGGTACCTGACAGAACTACACCAATCGTCCCTTTATTCACTGAATTGCCTGTCATTACAACAAAGTTCCCTGCTGTGGGAAATATAGTCAATTTTGAACAGGAAGCTACAGTTCAATCTCAAGCTTTCACACACAGATTAGCCACTGAATCACCTGCACCTGCCAGGAGTACCAAGAAGCCTTGGGATATGGACTTCTACTCACCTGTTTCAGGGCCACTTGAAAAACCAGACATATCTGAAATTCAGGAGGAAGTGCCCCAAAGCACAACTGTCACCTCCCATCATGCTACTGATTCATGGGATGGTGTCTTGGAAGATACGCAAACACAGGAATCAGTTACACAAATTGAACAAATAGAAGTGGGTCCCTTGGTAACGTCTATGGAAATCTCCAAGCACATTCCTTCCAAGGGATTACCGGTAGCTGAAACACCACTTGTGCCTACAACAATGACCCTGGAATCCAGAACTGAGAACAAAATAGGCAGCACTCTTTCTGAATCAGTGGGCCACTCTGGATTCACCTTGGGAGAAGGTGATGGTGAAGACAGAACATTCATAGTTAGACCTGGTCAGAGCACCTTAGTCTTTAGCCAAGTGCCTGAAGTCATTACTGTGTCAAAGACTTCGGAAGACACTACTCCCATTCAACGAGAGGACATGTGGTCAGTCTCAGCATGGACGACTGTTTCGCCTGTGACTGTACCTGACAGTGATGAATCCCTGGATGACTGGGAAGAGAAACAAACTTATGATAGGATAACTGAAGATTTTTTTGGCCAGTATGTGTCTACCACACCTTTCCCATCACGGCATCACCCAGAAGTTGAATTATTTCCTTATTCTGGTGATAAAAGATTAGTTGAGGGAATGTCCACAGTTATTTATCCCTCTCCACACACAGAAGCAACACAAGGAAGAGAAAGAACAGAAACAATAAGACCAGAGGTGGGAACAGATACTCATACTGATGAAGAAATGCAGGAAAAGATCACCAAAGACCCTTTTCTAGGAAAAGTAGAAGAAGAAGGCATCTCTGGAATGAAGTTCTCTATGGCCCCCACGGAGCAAATTCATCTTACAGAGTCTTCAGTAGGAATGACCAAATCTTTTGATTCTCCAGCATTGACAGCAACAAAGCTGAGTGAGGCACCAACAGAGGCCAGAGATGTGGAGGAAGACTTTACAATGAGTCCGGTTGTCTTAGAAAGAGATAGCTACCAAGAAACTACCAAGTATCATGAGGGTGTTACAATGGTGCATCCGGTCCACAGCTCTTTAAATGTGGAGGTGGTCACTGTATCAAAATGGTGGTGGGATGAAGATAATGTAACATCAGAGCCTTTAGGATCCACGGAACATACAGGTCATCCAAAATTGCCTCCTGCCTTATTCACCACTGTGGGAGTGAGTGGAAAGGATAAAGAAACCCCAGGTTTTACTGAAGATGGTGGAGAGGAATATGGTACTATCCCAGATAGTACTCACCAGTCATTAGAGGAGTTTGTGGAGGAAGACACAACAGACCTTGGGAAATTCACACTTAGATTTCAGCCAACTGCATTAGTTGGTATTGCAGAAAAGTCAACTTTGAGAGACTTTACAACTGAAGGAATAGTTCTACCTATCACAAGCACAGAAGGCCAGGGTGTTCATGCAGCCGCAGAAGGAAGTGCTTTGGATGAAGGAGAAGATGTGGTTGCCTCTAAGCCCACACCTACATTCCCTCCATTTGCACATCCTTCAGATGTAGAAGGATCAGCATTTGTTAATTATAGTACTACTCAGGAGCCTACTACTTATGTAGACACTTCCCATACTGTTCCTCTTTCTGTAATTCCCAAGACAGAATGGGGGATGTTAGTACCTTCTGTTATACCGGAAGGTGAAGTTCTAGGTGAACCCTCTCAAGAAATACATGTCATTGATCAGACTCATCTTGAAGCAACTATTTCTCCTGAAACCGTAAGAACAAGAGAAATTACACAGGAAACAACTCAGGAAGAATTCCCTTGGAAAGAACAGACTCCAGAGAGGCCAGTTCCTGCCCTAGGTCCTACAGTCAGTACAGCCCAGGAGGCAACAATGCCTGTGGGTGAACCAGAGAGCGATTGGTCAGCATATACCGTCTCTGAAGACAGACCCGTAACAGCTTCTGAGAGAGTCCCAGTTTTAGGAACAACTCCAATAGGAAAAACTGAGCACAGTATGTCATATCCACCTGGTACTGTCACTGAGCACAAAGTGAAGACTGACGAAGTGACAACACCAACATCGAGCATAGAGCCAACAGCATCTTTAAGTCAAGAGCCTGAACAAAAGTATGAAACAGAAGGTACTAGTCCAAGGGGATTTGTATTGCCTTTCAGCACTGGTGTTACCCAGATTATAGAGGAAACCACTACTGGGAAAAGAGAGAAAATATCCGTAGATTATATTGATTTAGGTTCAGGATTATTGGAAAAGCCTAAAGCCACAGAACTCCCAAAATTTTCAACAGAAAAACCCACAGTTCCAAGTGATCTCACTGCTGCCTTCAGTTCAGTAGACAGACGTTATACAACGTTAGAATCCAAGGTGTCTTTGGCATTCACTGAGAAACCACCTCTCATTGATAGGGGGCCTGGTGAAGAAATAACCGGGGACATGGTAATCATTGGAGAATCGACATCTCGTGTTCCTCCCACTACCCCTGAGGATATTGTAATGAAGGAAACAGAAATTGACATCGATAGAGAGTATTTCACTGCTTCAAGTACTCCATCTTCTACACAGCCAACAAGACCACCCACAGTAGGAGGCCAAGAGGCCTTCAGACCTCAGGCACCTTCCACTCCAGAACCCCCAGCAGGGACAAAACTCCGCCCTGACATAAATGTTTTTGTTATTGAGGTCAGAGAAAACAAGACAGGTAAGTCTTTGCTTTCTAGACATACCAGTCAAGGCACTCAGCATTTTATCTTGAAAATTACTTTTGGAAAATATATATCAACATACCAAATGGTGCCATTAGAAGATAACTGGAGTGTGAAAAAAAATTCTGTGTTTTTAGCTTCATGTATTTGTACAAGAATTGGAAGAATATGTTAAACAACTGGGAAAAATGTTAGATGTGATTTGATTTTAAAAGTCATAAAAAGCTCTGCTTTGTCATCTAATATAACCAAATCATCACTGTCACATCACTTCAGAACATGCAGAACCAAGTGCTTTAATTTCAGTGTCTTTTCATGCATTACTACTCAAGCGTAGTGCTAGACTGTGTTAACATTCCATTGGTCTTTAACTATTAACCTTCAGTACTTACAATCGTGGACAGCTAAAATTGTATTGCCTATCCCTAGGGTTGATAGAAAGACATCTAAAGTTTACTTTAGGTTTTTCTCTTTCAGGATTTTGCAGGTTTATCATACAACTTGTGGGGTGGGTAATGGGTCTGTAGTTTAAATGTCATTTTAATGCAAGTTCAACATATTTTTAAGCTGTTATCTGTGAGTATTTCAAGGAAGCTTTAAATATTTAGAACAAATACAATCTAGCCCAGTTCTAGGAAATGCTGTAGTTCATTGTACCAAATATAACTTCAGAAAGTGGATATGTCAGCTTTACTTCTATTCCCTAAAAACCAGACAAATGTTGATTTGTTTTATGATTTAATTGTTTTATCTCTAGGAATATTTGTGAAACCTTCCATTCTGTTCAGCTCTTTTATTTATCTCTCTGGCAAAATTCTTAAACACTGTTTGCTTACATTGATTAATACTTGCAGTTTTCATTATCAAACATAACTTATTCCTTCCTAAGGGTCAGGTCACATCGTGTCTTAAGTTTGGCAAGCAGAGCTGAGAATACATAGCACATAGAGTTCAATAGATAATTCGGGTTTGTCTCTTTTTAATTTTGAAGTCAGTATCATTAATTTTAGTTAAGTTGCTGTATTCTAGCACTAATATGTGACTTAAATGAATAAATAACTCATATTTCCTTGACTTGGCTCTGAAAAGGTGGCTTGGAAGAATGTTCTTTTGGCAGGTTTTCCTTCTTAACCATTGGGGCATTCTCCTGAGGGTGTCATTTTTCTTAAGAGTGATGCTATCCTCACAGAGTGCTCAGGAGAGCCCCTGCTGAAGCAAGCGGGTAATTATGGGCAAATCAGCGGGCTTCTCGAGCTGTAGGTGGAAACTTCACAGCTTCTACTATGCAGAATACTTTCAGCATAGAAGCTCTTGCAGAGTGGTGAGTAAGCAGAGAAGAGAATGCATTCCCAGAGTATTGAAGTTAATTTCCATTTTCCAAAGCAGTTGAAAGAGGCCAGGATTGGAGCCCTATTTTCCTGCTAATGATGCTGTTTCAAGGAAACCAAAACTTATTTCCTGTCTCTTACTTGCCCTTTCCACCTCTTGGAACTCAGGTCAGAGAGAGAAGCTGAGTTGCCAAGTGGAAATGAGGATTGCTGTTATAGTCGGTTGGAAAAGTGACACAACATTACTATGAAAGAGAAAGAACAGAATGAACAGAAGCGAGAAGGAAATACCACCAACATTTAATTGTCGAATTAAAAAAACAGTGCTTGGAAAACTATGCAGAAGTTTCCCCCAGTTTAGATTACTTTCTTATCAGTGTAGATGCTGCATTGAATCAAATGATATAAAAAAATAGTAAAAAATGCTCTGCATTAAAAANTTGCCTTTGGGACGTGGAGAAAGGTTTAAGGTGGGTGATAATGAAAAGTGATTTTTGCGTTTTCCATAATGTTTACATTTTAAAAATAAAACTGGGTGTAATTGTGGAAAATTACAACTTCTCAGTTTAGGAAATGTGGATGTTTGCTACACTTTCACGTGTAAGATTTTAAATTTTCTTGAAAACATTGGAAGGTCAGGTAACTCCTTTTCACAATTGATAGGAATGCTTCCTTTTTAACTTCACTGCTTTCAGTATTACCAGAAGTTACTAGGCACAATATATATATATATATATACACATATATATATATATATACACATATATATATATACATATATATATATATATACACACACACCATTTATATTAATTCAGCTATATATACCATTTATATTAATTCAGCTAAACTAGGTCTGGGGGACATCACTATGTCTCCTCTTCTTTCTTCCACTTTTAAAACCTGGAACCATGATTTGCCTTCAGACTAATTTTTGTTCAGCATTGGTAACAGTAGATCAGAAAACTCTGGAAAGGGAGTAGCTGGCTATCTCCATCAGGTCTTTTTCCAGAATGTGTGTGGTGGGGTGGATATCTATTTAGTTCCCTCTCTCCATTTCTCTCTCTCTCTCTCATCTATCATTTTTGTGTGCTTTAGAGATTTAATTTTCCTTAAGACTCAAAGCATTGTTTATTGTCTTGATAAGACAATGAGGTTTACTCAAATCAACCATTTACTTTCACTAATTTTATTTTTTTTCTATGGGAAATTTAATTTGTCAAACATTTTGAACTTTGGCAAGGGAAACCCTACAGCAGATGTTAAATTAATGAGCTCTAAGGCAGGTGTACATTAATAAGGGAAAGTACATATGTGTCTGGAAAACAAATCCTTTTATGTACCAAGGCACGTTTTTCCAGACTGGAAAACCCTTGGTACATATATGAACTTATATAAGTCTGTTTGCAACCATAGAGTCGGCCTCTACACATACTGTATATCCAAGTAAGCTAAAATACCACCCGTGCTATACTAAACCAAGGCATTCATAATTTTTTGCTGCACTCAGCAAGTCATATAAATCTTGATGTTTTTCTACTACTATGAAACAAAACATGCTACTCAGGATATGTTTATGTTATATTTGCTCAAATGGATCTTAATAGCAACTTAAGGCACTGTTGCTGGAGGACAAATATAGTTAGCAGTTTAAAAAAATCTGAAGGAACTTTTCAGCTCATAAAAGTTTTATGAGCTGAAAAATGCTATGGGGTGTGTTTAACAGTGGTTCAGGGGATACTGAAAACATGACTCCTGTCTATTTTCAGGAGTAATTTGCACACCTGCATTTTGAAAAATTATTGAAAGGTTTGCTTTGTGAACATGTATGAAGTCTACAGAGTTTAAAGGTGTAGGAAGAGTTTCTTAAATGCTGGGATTTTTTTTTAATACTCCTTTAAAAAATCTGAAATGTCACAAGTTAGTGTGACAGACTATGAATGTTCTTAAAGGCTGATATGCTGGTATCTTTAGATAATACTTTGGAAATGTACCACTATTAAATACAAACATTATTATGCAAATAATCATAACCTAAAAGTAGATAGCTTATTAGCTTTTTAAAAGCAAGTTTATAGATATTACATAATGCTTATCATTCTGACTTGCCAAAGGTGTTCTTCTTTTTAGTTTTATGATTAGATTATTTATGATTATTTAGATTATGGTTAATCCTTTCTGCTTCTTTGTAAATTCCATAAGTGTTTGTAAGACTAAGGTCTTATTTTATGAATATGATGGTGCTGAGGACAGGCTAAAGAATAAGGGATGTCGTCTCTGAGAGCAGGAGATTCTGGGCAAATGCCAATATTGTTATCATTGATTGCACATTCTTTTAAAAGTAATGTTTATATAAGACAGTCTTATGATTTTTATAAATCACAGATTTTTTATTTTTATAGAATTTATTATGTAGAGGAAGTACTTTCAGTTTTTTTTTTAATGAATCAGATTCCTTTCTTCAAACAAAATTTTATTGAGGTTCTCTATATTTTAAGCAGATAAAAGGGTGGCTGTTTGGTTAACATCCAAACAGAGAGAGGAGATCAGCAGCCCTGTTTTCTTGGACCCTCTCACCCACTGTGATTGTTTCTCATATAACATGTACTACAGAACACAACTAAAAGCAGAATGATATCATCTAGATAATTCAATGGAAAGCAGAAACAATGACTAATTCTTGAGTGAATTGATTTTTTTTTCAAGTAACACATTTTTAAAATTGATCTGATTGTCAATGCTTTACCTCACTATAGTGGACACACATTTATTTACATTTACCTTTGAATAACTTTGTATGGTTCTGAATACAGCAGATTAAGCAAATCTAGTTTCAATCTTTTTGATGCTTCTATGTAATCAAGATAATATCTAGTTTCATTTCAGAATATTATATGTATATGCAGAGCTAAATCATCATCAATCTCACACTCAGAGCTTGATGCTTGCAGACCACATTTTACTTAATTGCCGTGTTTAAACCTCAGAGATACTTTGCGACACAACTAGGAATGTATTGCAGATGGGCAAACAAAGGCACACCAAGTCCATCCCTGCTGGCCCTGGGAACAACAGTCTGGGGACTTCATGGAGCATTTTTGCAGTGAGGTGATTGTCTCCCCTGATGAACTCAGAAATCATGACTCTTTATTGTGTCATGTTGCCTTGTCCACCAATTCCTGAAAGGGCACAGATTCTGGAAAGACTGACCTTTCATTGGCATTCAGTTAGCTTGTTTAGAGCTGATGACATGGTTTAGTTTGCCTCCATAATGGTTTAGTTTAGTCTCCATAACCAAATATGGAGACTGTCAAGCTATTTCAATGCCTGCCACAGCAAAAGAACAGCAAGCTGAAACTGGTCGACCTATTTCTGGGCTGCTGCTTCCCTGTAGAATTTTGGTTACATTCCTAAAAGTGGATGGAGCTGGTGCCTGCACACATGAGTGGCTCCCTTTTTTGGGCTCCAGTGGTGATTTCTTCCAGAGAAGCACATTTTTTTTCTGCAGAGAATTAGGATGGTTTCTCCCATCCTTCCTTGGCTGCCTAAAATCTAGAAAAGGATTGATTTCCTTTTCTATTAATCACATAATGAAAAGGGAAGAGACTATCTTCCTTGCATTTCTATAGTAAGAAGAGAAGAATTGACCTTAGTGTTTCTAAATTATT